TTGTATTTTATACTCGTCTGGAAAGCTTGAGAGATGGAATTGTTGATGTTGTTGGAATTGGAATTGAAGATACTCAGTAGTGTTGAATACTTCTTGTAAGTATTAGGTTGTACTGGTTTGACACGGAAAGATAAGCTTAACTTAACTCAACTTCAGTGTTATATTATTATCCAAAGCTGCTTGCTATGTTTAGAGAAGATGGATTAAATTAAATGGATTTATTCATCATATTGTAGAAAATCACGATGATGTCGCGGCGTGGGTTGGAATAAGATGTAGTCGGATAAATCTCGGTTGTGGTTTGTTGATGAAGTCTTGATGAAGTTACTCTACGATACATTGGTTTGTGTGGTTTGTGGAATCGACTTCGTGCGTCATTGTGTGGATGAGTAGAGAGAGACTGATATCGATATCTTCGGTATCTACCTATTCAATTATATCCTATCAATTCTTTGAGCATTATATCCTATCCTATCAGCTCGAGCATCCATACAATCTTTAAGTGACAGTATACATTCGAAAGGATCATTGAAGAAGGATCTCGAGTCTGAAGATATTGATTGACGAGTTTGAACTGCTACCATTCAACACCCACAACCACATCTTGTCTTCTTCCATCACGATGATCAGTAATCACAGATGACATTGGAAAGAAGATATCCAAGCTTTCGTAAATCTCTTCCTTATCAAAGTTCAGTGCTAAATACAGATAAAGTGGATCCATGACCGAATATCCCGTTGTATCCGACAGATCTTTTCTTCAAGAAGCTTTGGTGATAGGGAATCCCAGAAATACCAAGTATCATGGAATTTTTGGAACTCCTGACCCAAACAATTCTCAAGTTGAAGTCTAGCAAGTACCGAGGATATCTACCTTGAGATGGAAGTTGTCAACTTTATCAGTTGATGCAATAACAACATTAATACGTATAATTATATAAATACATATATACATATATATATAACTTATTGGCCTCCTGAAAAGACTACCTATGCATTAGACAATTTTGGTGAGCGATTTTGTATTCTTTCCTGAACAGGGGTTTGGACAGTCCTACATGAGACTTCGGCCAAATTAGAATCTATCCCGGAGGCGCAAAATTTCATTGAAACATTTGAGTTTGAACCAAAAAATCATTTCCATTGAATCAATTCTACCACATATATTGAGAGGAAAAAGAAAGGAAAGATGGATAATCAATTATTGAACCAACCAACCGAACCGAATCAACAGGTGCAGCCGCAACCTTTTGCGGGAGATCAGCAAATCGGTCCCAACTTACCAAACCAACCAGGCTCTGACATCCGACCTGATATCCGACCTGGGCGGCAACGGGTCAAACGTGCATGTCAACCTTGTAAATCGAGAAAGAAGCGGTGCGATGGATCGGAGCCTTGCGCGACATGCATTCGATACGGCTACGAATGTCATTACGAACTCGGGCCGAGGAAACGGAGGAGACACACGTTGAAAGATCACGACACGGATGTTTCGCAAAGTCATAGTTCGCCTGATGCGAGCATTCATCATCGCGATGAGCGCGAGAGAGCAGATAGTGAAAGTGCTCATGTCCCCCATACCAGTGGTGCCAAAGATACAAATCTTTGGGGGAAAGCTTTTGCGGCTTCTTTGGCCTTGAAGTTGGATGCCGGGAAGTTGAGTAAACCGCATTTGGCTTGGAATTTGGGTCTCAAGGATGAGCAATCATATGCTCAACCGCCGATCACGAGAGTAATAGGGCAGGCTGAGATGCAGAGACTTGCAAATCATTATTTCGATACCACGCATCAAATCTTTGGCATTTTCAAGAGAGATCTGTTTGATCGGAAGATCGTGGAGAGGTGGGGAGTAAATCTGGAAAGCTCTGATCCGCATGATCCCATCTTGTGTGGGGTTGCAGCTTTGGGATCTTTGTTTTCGGGTGGCAATCCAAGTCCAGCGGAGGCCCAATTGGTAGAATTGGCAAAGATGGCTTTGGAAACGACGAGTGTGTTGAATTATCCTTCTCGACATCATGTGGTAGCATGGGTATTGAGGACACTTTTCTTGAGATGTACGGCTTGTCCTCATGCTGCATGGATTGCCAGCTGCACGACAATGCACATTATTGAGAGTGTAGGAATGGAAGATGATTCGGATAACAGCAGTAACGACGCAGAGCTCGAGAGGGGAATTGGGTGTGGCGTCTTAAATATGCAGAGGTTGTTTTGGATTGCTCGACTGATGAATTCATGGGTGGCAAATGATTATGGTCGGTCGAAGGTGACTGTGAAAATACCTACACCTCCTTTTCCCTCGCCCGAAAGTGAAGCGGATATCACACTCGATTATCTCACCTTGTTTCAGATCTCAGAACGCCTAGATCAGGATACGAATCATACGGCCGTGGAATTCGAAGCAGGCATAGAATCGATCTACAGGTTTCATGCTCGATCCGATGGAGCAATACTTTCACAAACGAACTTGGGTCTCGGATTGTACCGCCGGTTGCGTCTCCTCGCCTCAACCATATCACAAGATACCATTTCTCAGGTGATATCTATTGGTATCAAAGGCTTAGGATCCGTCATGAGAATGGTAGAGAGTCGTCAACCTTGGTGGCACGTTGCCAATATCCCCTTTCAATTCGTCTGTATCCTCCTCGTCATAGATACCCCCGAGTCCCTCTCGCATATCGGCGAGGCTCTCGAAACTCTCGATGCGGTGTCCCGCTGTTTCACCACTCGCTCACTTACAGAATCTGCAGCAACGGCTAGAACACTAGTGGAGTTATCTCAAAAGAGGAAACAGGAAGAAATTAATATTTTGGGCCAGGGTCTCAAGACCAGAATGGAACCCATGCAGACGAGCCAATTGCCCATTCCGAATGTGAATACTAGTAAGATGATGCTGGCGCCGACGATGATGGGAAACGCAAATGTGAATGGGAATGGGAATGGGATAATGCCGGGAATGCCAAATATCGGCTCGATGGATTTTACGGGCTTTGATTGGGATTCTTTCTTGAGTATGGATATTCCGGTGTTGGATGCCACGGCGATTCTTTGAGGGAGGGGTGAAGAGTTTCGGATGTAGTATATTTTTGCAGAGAAATTTGACGTTGTGGAATATCTTTCCCGTAAAACTTGATAGGTCGGGACCGCCGGGAAATTTCCTGCTACATTGTAGTATCGCGATTGATGTTCTTGCTGTATATACCTACTAGGTACTTGAAGTGTCCACAGGATGAGTATGGATACTTCACAATCAAATACGCGTAAATCACAAGGAGATTTTTTTTTTTGAGAAACTTGGTAGGAGCAAATTATAGGAAGAAATATTCCTGGAATGGTGAATGAAGTAGGTGTAAATAATCGGATATAGTGGTGAGCTTAGGAAATTACAATGGGGAAGATTAAGTATATACGTATATATATACATATATCTATATACATATATACAGAAATCTAAATCTAATAGTATCAAGTATCTACCTAGTACCTATTCTCTGCGCATCATGTAGCTTAGTATGTAGATAGATGTAAACTCAGATAGAGATTTAGAAATCAACACCCTGTGATAAGACTCGTTAGTATTGTTATAAATGAATCTGTGTATTTCGAGGAGGGGTTTTTGGTGTATACTACATATGAATATGAATACTTTCTATTAGTTTTTATACATCTGTTTTGGGATTAATGATTATTTTTTGATATTCTATTTTGAATTTTGGTAGAGTGAAATTGTTGTTATTTTTCTATATATATAGGTATACATTCAATAGGTAGGTATCTATATATCTAGATTTATCTACCTATCTACCTTTCTATCTATCCACACACATCCCCCCCCTGCACAATCAATTCAGCCCTACGCCATACATACATCCCTGCACCCGACATCGGCAAACCTCACCGCACAACCGAGAATTCCCATAACCATTACCTCGGGCCGTGACCGCATGCATCAGCAGCGAAAAAATGTGATATCAGGGAACGGGATGGGGATGATGGGGAGTGGGAAAATTTTTGTGAAGGAAATGGACCGAATGGAGTGCCAAGATGTTGATGTTTGGAGAGATTGCGAGGTTGCGAGGTTGGGAGGGGAGGGGATGGTGCTGGGTGTATGAAGGAGGAAGTGGGAAGTAGGTGTTGAGGGTGGAGGGAGGGAGAGTCTAGATTGGGTGGTGTGGTGTGATGTTGTGGTGTTGGGGTGTTAGGTCTGCGAGTGAGTTTATGGTTTATGAACATAAGATGAGGTGAGTCTTCGAAGAAATCACATTTTTCACAGGATGATTGATTGATTCGATACCGAATCTTTGGATATTTACAGTTACACGTGAGTAGGTAGGTATGTAGGCTATATCTCATACCGAGAACATGGTACAGCAACTCAGATTCAACGGATAAGAAACGACAATCTCATCCAACCCATCACCACAACAAATTGTCTCCGAAGTACCAACCCTGTTCGATACTTATTCCCGACTCCTTTACTCCCTGACTGTAAACGAGGTTTATTCATCACCCTAGATGCAGGATCGTCTCCACCCACAACATCAGCTTGCAGACCAACACACCCGGATGAAAGCGGATGTAAGTCGGGAAGAATAAACTTTTTGATATCGCTTGGCTTTTTACTCTGTCGATAAATAGCGTCGTGGGAGGATTTTACAATGACTTTGAGGATCTGAGACAGGGTTGTGGCATTATTTGTGGATCGGTGAGATGGGTTTACTAGTATGTATAGGGTAGTTGAGTCGAGTGTGTGAAGGGTGAGAGGAGGATGTCGGATCTTGAGGATGTTGGATGGGTGAGAGCGGATGTGAAGATCTGTATGGTGGGATATATATAAAGGTCAAGGTACCTTTGTGAGGGGATTTATTTGTTTGCTAGATTGGGCTTCAGATTTTTTTATATGGTCTTGCATTCTTACTTGGCTTTATCTCTTCCTCTGGTACGAGTCGTTTATTTCCGATCTTCATTATATTGTATGGTAAACATCCGCATCCACCTCCAGAATGTCAGACACAGAGAGTAGTACCTCGAATCCCAAAGATGTCCTCTATGACTCCATCCTCAACAACCGCACAAAAGATCCCCAAACACCCATCACCCGCACTCCCACCCACAAATCCACACACTCCCGGCGCGGAAGCACCACGCTCCGCAACACCCCAACCCATCTCTCGCAAAAAGAAACCCGAGATCCAAATCTCGATATCAATCTTCCCTATCGAACACTCAGTCCCAATGCCAATCTCTCCGAATACACAGCCGAGAAACCAGAAGGTGAAATTCCCTCTGCGGAAAGAAATGGAAAGATAGATTATAAACTCGTTACTTTCCTGCCCGATGATCCGGAGAATCCTAAAAATTGGTCAAAGGCGTTTAAATGGTATATCACCATGGTCGTTGCATTGACGTGTTTTGTGGTTGCCCTCGCTTCGTCAATTATCACGGCGGATCTGGTTGGAGTGGAAGAGGAGTTTAATGTTTCTGAGGAGGTAGCTCTTCTCAGTATCACGGTTTTTGTGATGGGTTTTGGTATTGGTATGTTGATTTTCATTCTTTGATGTATATCTTAAATCGAAGAAGAAAAGCTCACACAAATCAGGTCCCATGATGTTTGCACCTCTTTCCGAAGTCGTCGGTCGCCGCTGGATATACGGAGTGACATTATTCCTCGCAGTCATCTTCATCGTTCCCTGCGCCGTCGCGCAAAACATCCAAACCCTCCTCGTCTGTCGCGCTCTCGATGGAATATCGTTTTCCGCCCCCATGACCCTCGTCGGTGGTACGCTCGCCGATCTCTGGCGCACCGAAGAACGCGGGGTCCCTATGGCCGCCTTCTCCGCCGCCCCTTTCATCGGTCCCGCCATCGGTCCTCTGATCGGCGGCTTCCTCTCCGACGCAGCAGGCTGGCGCTGGCTCTACTACATCCAAATCATCTTCGCCTTTGTCGTCTGGGTCCTCATCACCTTCACCGTTCCCGAAACCTACGCGCCCACCATCCTCGCGCGCCGAGCCAGAAAAATGCGCGAGCAATCCGGCGAACAGGAACACGTCACAGAACAAGATCTCGATCTACGCCCCTTCGCAGAACGTCTCCGTATCTTCCTCATCCGTCCTTTCCAACTGCTCTTCGGAGAACTCATCGTCTTCCTCATTTCTCTCTACATGAGCGTTCTCTACGGTCTGCTCTACATGTTCTTCGTCGCCTTCCCCATCGTCTACCAAGAAGGAAAAGGGTACTCCGCTGGCACAACAGGACTCATGTTCATTCCTCTCGCTCTCGGGGTCATCGCATCGGCTCTGTGCGCTCCAATCGTAAACCGCAATTACATGAGCCAAGTACGAAAATACAACGGACATCCCCCCGCCGAAGTGCGACTCATCCCCATGATGTGTTCCTGCTGGTTCATCCCCATCGGTCTCTTCATCTTCGCATGGACCTCCTATCCCCAACTCCACTGGATCGGGCCCGCTATCGGCGGCTTTCCCGTCGGCTTCGGATTCATCTTCCTCTACAACGCGGCAAACAATTATCTCGTAGATAGTTACCAACATCAAGCCGCTTCCGCGCTCGCGGCGAAAACTTTCCTCCGATCGTTTTGGGGGGCCGCGGTCGTGCTTTTCACGGAACAGATGTATGCGCGACTGGGGTATCAGTGGGCGAGTTCGCTACTGGCGTTTATAGCGTTGGCGTGCTGTGCGATTCCGTTTGTGTTCTGGGTGTGGGGCGCGAGGATTAGAGAGAAGAGTCGGTTTGCGTATGCGGGAGGGGATGAGGAGGGAGTGGGGAGGAGGGTGGAGGAGGAGGAGTTGGAGAGGCAGAGAAGTTATGTTAGTACTCCTTAGGGGTTAGGGGGGGAGATGGTTTGGGCAAATTGAGGGGTGGGGTGGGAAAGAGGATGATGTAATGATTTCTATGAGGGGATGGATAGGGATGGTGATTGTAATGAAACAGGATGGGATGGTTTGTGGGCGTTAGAGATAAACATTAGAGATTCCCCATAGATTTGTACTTAAATTTCCATATCATAATAATTTAATTGCATTCATAGAAATCAAAATCATAAAATACTATTCACACGAGCATTTTTCCATCAAATTAAATGCATATATGTATATAAAATTTGTGAAATGATTCCTGCATTATGCATTTGATTCATTTCATTGTACTATCTACTAATTAATCATCATCAGCCTCCTCATTTATATCCTGCCATACATATACCCCCAATCCCTCATTCAAATAATCCAATCCACTCATTTCCTCCCCTAAAACCAAGACCCAAAACTTCCGTATTCAGTCGATGGAGGCAAAATAGTCGATTATCGAATAATAGTGCAAAGCAAAGTATTGAACTATCGGAGTTTTATCCCCGTTGTAATGTGAAACTAGAACATATTTGAATTTTGATAAGTTTCGAAAAGGACTTAAATCTTAGCCTTCACATTATCCACCCGGACTTGAATCTTAGCCTTCACAATCGACTTATCCAACTTCCGATTCCACATTCGTACTCCTCGCGATTATATCTTATAGCCTGCTATACTTGATGTCTTCGTATCGTGTGTACTTTATCAAGTTCAGGGCAGTATCAGTTTGAGTGGTTAGATAAAGGCTTGAGAATGTGGTTGCCTTTGAGGTCTGCTTGATTGCGATGACGAACGAGATCTGGACCTGTGAAATGGTCTGGCTGATGCTGATATTTGTTGTTGTTGTGGTGGTGGTGGTGGTGTTGGAGACTGTTTGTGTTGGTTTGTGTGATGAGGGAAACATGGATCTTGGCCTTGACGTTGTCGATAGGTCCATGCAGTCAAGAAGAAGAAATCATCGAATCGCTTTCCGAAAAATCCACTCCTTATCCTGGATCTTGGCCTTGATGTTGCTCTCAGTGGTGTAATGACACTGAAAATGTGGGAATGATCATGCGCAAGCATAGCACTAATTGGAATGTGATCGTGATTACTGGTCTGGTCCTTGGATGGTAAGGAACCAGAAGCCAGGAAGTAATCACGGAAAACCATAGTCTTGAACTGTGATTCCGAAACAAAGAGTAACTCCACCTGGATGTTGTAATCACTCAAGATGCGGGAATCCTCAAGTTGCTTTCTGGCGGAAAAATACTTGGATCTTGGCCTTGATTATCCATTTGCCTCCACTATGTTGGAATCCTAGAAATCAATCAATAATAGTTGTAGTTTTCGACTCCATGGCTGATAATTGATCGATTTTGATGTTTTGATGAGTATGTTGTGTGTGAATCGTATAGTCTTAAGATTTTATTGTCGTCGAGTCTAGATAATAGATTAGTATATTGTAGCAAGCGAGAAGAGGTGGTGTCATTTACCTTATTATTGTTGAAGTTGAGCTTCTCCACAGGCAAAGCATTTGAATGTTGTAATCGGAGAGAAAATACATCAAGTTGCTTTCCGACGAAACACAATTTGAATGTTGTAATCGGAGAGAGAACAAACGTCAAGTTGCTTTCCGACGAAATACAATTTGAATGTTGTAATCGGAGAGAGAACAAACACCTTGTTACGACTTTTACTTCCTCTAAATGACCAAGTTTGGATAACTTTCCGCCTCTGGGTCACTAATCTCCCAAGTATATCTAGTATTTGAGGTGGAATACGAATGATATAGCGAACATCCTAAGGGACAAGATTTTGAATAGCCTTGCAAGAAGCTGACATGCAAGTCTACCTCAAGTTGCTTTCCGACGAAATACACTTTGAATGTTGTAATCGGAGAGAGAACAAACATCAAGTTGTTTTCCGACGAAATACAATTTGAATGTTGTAATCGGAGAGAAAACACATCAAGTTGCTTTCCGTCGAAACTAACCCCCTGGATGTTGTAGTCAGAAAAAACTCCACACATAAGGAGGCCGGGGATTGTAACAAGATAAATCTTGAGTTTTTGCCATTTCCCTTCCTGTAGGATCCCAGGTCTTCAGCAGGAGGTTCATGTTTTAGAGTTTGGCGATAAAACCATCGTACCGAGGTTTGGAAGGAAGTGCAAAAGGGGATTCCCCTTTATATTTGCACTCACTCCCAGCCTCAAGCACAAGAACTCTAAAACAACGCAGGCACCAGCTCGCACACCATCAAATCAAAACATACACCAGAGTGTATGAAGATCATGACAGTTGTCCAGCCCGCCGAACACATGGGATCCACAGTTAATAATGTGAACATCATCCTTCACGGGACTTTGTTCACATTACCAAAAAAGGGAGGCATGAGGGATTAAGTAACAATACTAACCACTCTGCTAAAAGATCGTTCCAAACGAGGGTGGTTTGTTGTTAATTGTAATATATATAGTTGGTACTGAACATTAGCCTCTTTCGCAGATAGTGATTAGCGAACTGGAAACGAAGGCAGAATGTAAATGAGTTCGGATTGCAGTCCAACAGTGAGACACTTTCGATGTTCGAAAATCTTTCGATATCTGCGAGCAAGTGAATACTTGAAGATGTTTTGGGATTGAAGACTATTAATGCTTAGATATAATTCGATGTCTGGATATATCTCAGTGTAAAGTTGTTCAAGCTTTTCAACGATCTAGATGATTTCGGCGTTTCAGACTATCTTGATATTACATTCAGATTCAGAGATTGAATGGCTTCATCGTCAGATTGTACACCAAAGTATTCAAAGGTTGAATCAGTACGATCTATCTGATGTGATGAAGTGTTGATCTAATATGAGGGGTTCTTAGATGCTCAAATCTTGAGTAAATCAGTGAGCCATATTCGTGAATCTCAGAACCTTGTATTAAACCCAACAGTAGCGAGCAAATGCTTCTGTTGCATGAATATCGGATTTAAAGGCTTAGTGGCAACTAAATCTTTGTTAAAACCAAATCAAGGTGACTAGAACTCTTTGGGGAGTAGTGTATCTGGTCAAGTTTTTTGGTTGGGGTTGCATCCAAAAGCCATAGACGGTTATCTTCGCGCCAGAGTTGGGGAACAGAATTGGTGACGAGATGCTAGGGAAATCTCATTCTCCATCCATAAGAAGGTGTTAAATACTTCTTATACATAATTTCTGTTACCTTGGCTGCGATGTCGAAAGGCTTTTGAAGTACTAATGTCTTACAGTATGCACTGTTGGTATTGGACTGAAGTTCATGATTTTAGTGTATGTTAATCATGAACAGTGAGGAATACTGACTTGGAAAGCTTTTTGGGTATGCTCATGATTGTCGTAGATGTGGTCAGGCTCAAGCCTCAGGATCCGAGGCGAAAGGACTCTCATGGCGAATTTGATCTTCCTCGATAGGATAGATCCATGTGGAGGATAATCAGAAAACTACTCAACTCCATGTACATTTTTGATGGATTCAGAAGTTGAAGAGAAATCTAGAATTGCAGGGGAAGTGCAGACTTTTATACCCCAAGTCAAAACGAAGATCTTCAAGCTAAAATTGCGTCATTTTCCTAAGCTCACTACTTCGAACTCTAATTTCAATACTATCGATTCTTGTGGATCTTGGTTTGGTCACCAGAGTCGATTTAGTAAAGTTTGATCATATTTTTCTCTTTAAGAAGAGCTTGGTATTCGACTAGTAAAGTTGGCAGCTATCATTATACTTGTCCTTAATTGACGAATCAAACAGCTTCCTGGATACTGACTCATTAGATATTCATTTCTAACACCTCTCAATGTGTCTCTGAAGCCTGATAATTATCGCCTTGGATTTATGAATATATTCTGATCCAGAAGTAGTTCGATACATGGGAAAGGGTTGTTCGTTCGATTAACTAACTTACTCTCTAACAAAGTAAGAATTTAGCTAACTCACATATGGTAGTAATTATCAGGAAAGCCCCCCCCAAGATGAAACTAGACCCAGAATATCCTGAAGCTCATTTCAATCCTGTTTTTCTGCTTTGAAAGCACTATAACCAGAATCTTGTAGCAAATCGACCTTTCTGTTTTAGGTCAAACTTCAAAGTTTCCGCGGTAATATCACGAAACGTCTATCATTTTTAAAAAGTTCATCGTATGTTATTAACCTAATACTAATTTACAACTTCATTTGATACCAGATCAATCTTGCCCATCCGACGCCTGGAGCAAGATTACGAAAATACGCTAGTGGTGCCCACGGAGCCATTTGCTGTGGTAATCGTTGATGGGGAGGACTTTGGCGAGGCAATTAATATCTTCGTAGTCTTAAAAGTTTGCAAAACTTCTCGATTATTCTAAAGCAACACGGCTTGAGGGGTTTCTCGTTCCATCCTTCCATAAATTGTAGTGAAATGTAAGCGTCATCAGCAATATCATCAGTGTAGCTAAGCCAGCTCTCCATATACTGTAATGAGATGTAGGCATCGTCATCAATGTCATCAGTATAGCCCCAAAGCTTGGAACCTGGGGTCAATATATGAGTGATTAACTCTCTCTCATTATTCGAATCATTGATAAGGAGGCTCCTTAAACCAAGCATAGCATGATGGAAATCCCAAAAGTAAGAAGTCCTTACATTGATGGCATATCGTGACCTAGACCTCCTGGACTCGTCTGATTCTCCCAATTTGGTCAATATCGGGCATATTTCAACCTTCTTAATTCGCAATTCTCTAAAAGATCGGACCCAAGAGAACCTCATTGGAGATTTCAAGACCTCCTGGAAATCATCTTCAGCAATCGTCAACCAGATAATTGCAGAATCAAGGTTGGGAAGATCGCTTGATATATACCGGCATAAAGCAACAAAATCCTCAAAAAATGGTACATTAAATTCATCTCTAGGGTCGAAATCTATAGAGATATGCTTTATGCAGGGATGAAACAATTTGTTTCTCTTCAACCACGTCAAAGACTTCTGCAAGAGTAACTTTGTTAGCCTTTCATTTACAAAAGAAAAACAAATCGTTATGATGGCAAATCAATCACACACCTCAATGATAGGACCATTACGATCACTCGTCCACTGCTGGTTGCAACATTTCACACACCACACGACACGTGGGATGAGGAACCCGAGAAAATCGATCAAAACCTCTTTCGCCTCTTGGCTACCGTCGTTTTCTCGTCTTCGCAACGCTTCGGCAAACCCTCTTACCCAACAAAACTCTCCCATCGCATGGCACATGGATATCTGAATCTTATCTTCGAGTGTAGGGACCCCATAATACCGCTCCTGGACAAAATCGGCAACTGGTTTCTTGGCCTTTAATGTGGATGTCGATATATTATCCGTGGTAACCCAACCTAGAAGACCCTCATGATGAACGACATATTCATAGATAATTTCTCTAATTGGCAAAGGTAGAAGCAAAAGACCCTTAAGAAGCCTATGATTAGTGTTAGCATATATCATGAAATCTTAACAATGTGCAACATTACCAATGTGGAGAACAACCATGGCCGTTAAAATAATATGACATCTTTTGTCCACAGGGAATAAATCTTGTAACTGATGGGCAGGTGAAGTGAGTTAAACCCATATGCCATTCATCTTTGTGATCGCAAGGCAGACCAAGGAACCTATCTTTGTTTGCTGAAAGGGGAGCCAAGTTACTGCGTTCCATGTATCTTACTCGTCCGTCAGTCGATAGGAAATCTTTCGACCAATTTTTACTGTCGTATAATTCCAAGGTGTTGTAAAGGTATCTTTGGGTTGGTGTGCGATCAACTCCATCGTCAGGGAGTGGACCGTTTCCAAGAGATCTCATTCCTGGTAGGCCCGCCATTTGTAGTAAGGGGTCTCTCATATTTGCGGAAAAGACAACGTCTGCCAGCGATTACTTCTTGATTTCTTCGGTAATTATTTTGATATCAAATTATGTCTTCAAATCTTTTGTTTTGCTGTAGTGTCAATCAGTTGAAATTACTGGGCATGTTGTAAAACCTATGACAAGCCATATCAGAAAGCTCATTAATTAGATGAGCCATTGTATATGAATATTTGGCCGAGACAGTGAATGATTAGATCGTATGATGAATTCTGTCTGCAAATTGACTCACATTTCTTACCTGATAATATTCTCATGATATTGATGTTTTATTTATGACAACGGAAGGATGGCAAGGTGGCTATCGCATATACTAATCACACAGAAATGAGCAGGATGAAGTCGGAGAATAAGATCTCACAACATGGTAATCTCGAATGAAGCCATGAAAGGTTCGTGAAAACCTTCGCCCTACGTTTCTTATGATTTGGGTGTTTTGTATTCTATGAACTATGAAATATGGTGTAATGTTGAAGTCATGAAGCATGCTGAGTCATAACCTTTTGGCCGGTGTGATTGCACTCTCTACCCCACCATCAACAACGACACCTCATTTTTTGCATGCTCTATGGTCAACTTGAAACCATGGAAATGTGGCATTCGACGTATTCCGTCTCTAAGTTTACAAGCAGAGGATAAGTCTTGATAAGGCTTGATAATCCTCGATGGATTTAGGTAACAAATCACCATTCATGTTTGATTCCCACTCCAAATCCATCAAGATATCCGCTCGTGCCCGGAGCTCTCCAGGTAAACCCTCATGATTGTTGATTGTGTTTCTGAATCCTCTTAATATAGTTGCACCTTATCAAGCAGGGGCATCAAGATCCTCGATACATGCCCCAAGCTTCTGATGGCGTTGCTCATGCAGGCTGCTTTGGGTGACACCATCAAAGGTGCAAGATAGGCTTTTGGCTCGGTTCAAATCTTGGTACATCTTTGTCATTTTACACCAGTCTTCCTTTCGATGCGATCGGCCTGTCCGGGTATCTTGTTTCGTCGCTAGGTGGGTGATATCTTGCGGAGTATCATTGCCATCTTTAGAATGGTAAGTTAGCCTGGTATTCTTGATAGGTAATGACTAAGTATAAGATGATTCCGAATTCCAATGGGACCTAAAGACTGTCTGGAATATGCATCTACAGGCTTCCATAGTCTGAAGCAGATTTGCAACAAAACTTCTGAGACATTCTGCCAAGCGGTGGAGAACGTGGACTGGATAGGGAATATGACTTACAGGCGAGATAAATTGATGGTCAAGAGGGGAGCTTAAATTAGAAGTCCGAGGATACCTGACGTTTCTTGTATCCAAATCTCCTACTTGAATTGGAAAGAGATTATCCGCATGTAATTGTATAGTATTGTTCCATCTAAGAACTATCAGCTGATGAAAGTTTATACATAACATGAATCATCACATTATGAGAGATTAATTCCAGTAAGTCTTAACTCTTATCACTATCGATTTCGCCCTAATAACTTTCATCGACATTGGCATCGGAAGTGGATTGTGTTGCGAACGTGGGAGGTTCAGTGTAATATGTTATAATATCAATGGCAGATTGAATTCTAAGGTCGACTCCCTTTTTGGGTTCGAAGCACTCTCTTGGGCTGGGTAGGCTTGCGTTGACCGCATACCCATTGAGACTAGTATCTCCATTGTTGATATCCTCGTTCATGCCATACTCGTACTTTGTAAAATTTTCGCTCTCGCTTTGTACATGTGAAATCCAGTTCTCTATTATTTCTTTACCACTTTGTGCAGCATCTTGTTCCGACCCATGTCCATTCAGTATTTCCCGTTTTTGGCCGGCGATTTGTACGTCATCCATCCCCGAAAGGATATTTAAGAACAGAGGATCCTCACGAAACTTTGAATCCCGGATAAATTTCTCAGTATTGATGTATTCGCATTCGTTCTCGGGGCGGTATCTGACGCTTCTGGGAATAGTTTCTTGGTCCTGTTGAAGGGGCGCTGAGGATTCATCGGCCCCAATAGGCAAGTTTTGAACAGGTAATGTTCGAGACATCTTGGTATTTCGGTAAGATTTTGAATTTGTCAATAAGTTATCGTAAATACTTTCCGGGTTCCAGAAATTCTGCAGTCTTCGAATATTTTTTTACAAACAAAAGATTTGTGCGAAGAAAAGAATATTTAGTGTCGCATTTCATGGCATAGATAAGCATTAGCAAGCTACGATAATTTAACAAAACTAGCTCAGAAGCATAATTATTGTACCGAACAAATTCTTCACTTTGGGTATAGAATGGACGTCTGGAATACCATGAACTAAAGAACTTCTAGTCCGGTTCCCCCTAGATGGTTAAGCGAGACATCGGCTCAAACTCAAATTTTGTGGGGTATTGAGCAACTCAGAAGCTCTCAACACACATGGACTCTGATTTTTCAATAGCAAACATCCCAACTGCAACAGCATTTATTAGATAATGCCGCGCGTTGAAAAGATGCGATTGATGAGAGTTTTCGTGCTCGGAGCAGTCCATTTCCATCAGTTGAGTGCTGTAAATTCATAATGAATCCTGAGTATTGGCGCCTGGGTCAGAATAACTATTTAGGTAGTCTAATTAAGATATCGTCAATAAATATTCTTCCACATCCCGAATTCTCTTCTATAGACAAATGAGATGACCCGTGTCCTTCGGCTTGATGTTTCCTGATCATGTGATTGAGTTTTTCCGTGGACACATGTCATTGAGGATCTCTGCGCTAATTGCTCTTCTAATTAGTTAGGTTGGGATCAATGAAACTCATGTTAATTGTGCTTAGGGCTTGTGGTAGTCAGATTGTTCACTTGCAGTGTAGCTGTGTGCATTATTGCTTGTTAGTACATTGATCACTTGCGCAGAAATAAGGTGGTCGGACATGCATTGAAAGCAGTTCTTTGGAATACCTACAATTATATAGTCAGGTTTCATACAAAAAGAATCTACAAGATTTTATGAACTCAGTTTACTTTAATTGTGTGATATTCTTAGCTTATACAAAGTGCAAGTCATCTTGATCTTTGTCATGTTTACTATGCCTCTTTGTGTCTTTTCATCTTTCAATTTCATAGTACTGGTTTGGGGATTTAAAAATCAGAGATCAGAAATGATGATATGTCGTTTTTTTATAGAACTCTGATCTTTTTACTAGCTGATACGTCGAGTTGAAGGCTAGATATTAGTATTAGACTAGAGCATCATGCTGAGACATGGTGTGACAGAAGAAAGATTGCTTGAGTGGGTGGATAATGAGTTGTATTTTTTGGAAATGGTAGTAAAAGATACGATCTCCTTATACTCCACTTTATTACTAATCGAATGGGTAAAATGCTCCCTCTAACCTTCACCTTCAGAGGAAGGTGCTGGCCTAAATAGGCATATAATTTATTATAAGCTCGACGCCAAAGCTTTAAGGGGTATGGCTTGTTCAATGGTAATTAGATTCATTATAATAAAACCCATTCTTCTTCTCCCTTCTGCGACCAAGCACCAATTATGACATATTGTACAAATTGTAATTAGAATGAGATTCCTATTGAAATCTGAGCGTCAATCAAAATCATTTAAAAAAGAGAGTCAAACCAAATCCCACTCAACCCACCGAACTATTGTTCTGTCAGTTCATATTTCTTGTCGTCTTCCACCCTTTACTTCTTTTCTCATGTTTCTTCGTTTGCTTTTCCAATCGCTTTTTCTCTCCAGGGAATAATTTTGAAAGGCTGCCACCTCCACAGAGTATGAAAACTAAATGGACAATCATTTCCTAAAACTCAGGTGAGAATAGAAATAGCGAGACCCATGACATATTATCACGACCCTCCCCCCAACCCCCCCGGTGAGTATACAAACTAATGCGATGCTACAAAAATGGACATGTAAATATCTTTTGATATCATAGATCGTTTATCTTAGAAGTTGTTATAGTTGTTAATTAAAGATAGAATAATCAAATTTTGAATTATGATGTCAAACAATTGAAGAATGAATTTACCAGAAACATCCAAATTTGGGAAGTAACCCGTCAATCGACACACCCACTAGTGGTCCAAAATTTATTGAAAGCAGTTCTTTAGAATACAGTCATAAGCTCAAAGTATACTGGGAAAACATATGAGGCTCTGTAAACTCAGTCTATTTCAATTATGCGATACCCTTGAATCATAAACAGCATAAAACAGCCAATCTGTCTGAGCTATCACATATTGCCTTCCTTCCAAATGTTCTAACTACCATATCGATATTGATTCTGCCCGTTCTTATTTGGAAGAGCCATTTCAGTGTAGAATTGGCTCATCTTATCCACCGTATTCAATTTCACACTCCTGAAATGCAAACCGTTCTCTCGTTGGTGGACTTCCAAATTCACGTTCTTTTCCTTATCGATATCTCCTACGGGTTTCGGAATCCCTTCGAAAGTACCCGCGAAAGCTCTTCGCTCGTTGTAAATCTCGAAGAATGGATATCCGTATCTAGCGTAGGTTCCCACGGAAATCGGAGTCTGAGGAGGTGGTGTGCCTGTAACTAAGTGGAATGTTTTGGGGGAAAGTAATTGTATGTTGAACATAACTGCATTCCTTTCGTCATATCTCTCTCTTTGAAAACAGTCTTTTCGAATCGCTTGATGAATAGAACCACCGGGTGCCAATGTCAGTTCATGATCTCTGTCGTAAAACTCTTTTTTCATCTTTTCGAATTCTCTCATCATTTCATTTTGTAGTTGTTCTTTCTCCCAAGAGAACAAATTTGAAAAACCGAAACCTCCACACAGTTTGAGAACTAAATACACAGTCATTCCCTAAAAACCAAATTAGAATGGACTTTGTGAAGCCCATGATATATTACTGACCTCTTCTACACTAATATCTCCTAAGGTATCTGCGAATCACATGTCAGTCCGGCTACTTGTGAATTTTTTTAATTGAGTCAAACTAACGGTGTTCTTCAAGTGTCTTTCCCATAAATATAAGACGCTGCTGATCTATCGGTATGCTTTCTTTGCCCTGTATACGATCCTTGAGCGTTGCAACAGTCATGTCGGAGCTCACATGCACAGGGAAACTCTTGCCCGTCAGAGTTTTAATGATTATTTTGCCATCAAAATGAGACAATACGCGAAACGGAATGATTTCGAACCGAAGGCTAGCGATCTTGTCGACACCATTGATCTGTGCTTCAACCAAGTATCCTGAGCCAGTAGGCACTGCGACAAGTTGCATGTCTGTCTCATTAATTCTGACAAAGTCGCCAAACCATTCTTGTCCTGGCACTACAAGATAATCTTGCTTTTCGTCTGATTCAGCGATAGGCTCCCCAGGTTTCATCTCACAATGTCTGCTCTCTTCTGGCATAGCATTAATTCCGCCAACAAAGACTTTAACCGCAAATCGCGAAGTCTCGTACGCATGAAATTTAATCCACAAAGCCTCGCGCTCTAATCCGTTCATCAGCATAGCAACCATGCATAGGTGCGAAAAATATCAAACTTACGCCAAATAGGAACAAACACACCTCCCTTTCTAACGATGTCGAGAGGTAGCTTCTCTGCATAATCATCTATTGAATAAATAGGGAATTTTCCAAGGTTAGGGGGAAACTGGTAGTTCTTGCCGTCATCCGGGATCCGAACCGTTCGATGAAAAGAAATCTCCATTTTGCCACCACTGTTATTGTTTATGGCAATCTTTTGGAAAGCTCCTGGAAAACCATCAAAAGCGGTTTTCAATCCGACTTTGAGGGGTGAGGAAGTCATGGTGAAGGTATCCGTGACTTGAGTCGATGGTAGGGAGGAGCGATTGTTTTAACCTCACAGAACGATTCTCTCATTAAGTATCTCTCACAATATCATCCACCAAGCTCCAGAAGCTCCAACTGAAACAGGAATATTCAACAACTCCATGAACAAACAAAGAAAAGATCGTGTTGTAATTTCTAGCACAGCAGTTTTCGAAACATGATTCCACGATTCTCTCTGTCTTCTGATTCCATATTCTTCTGACAGCAACACGATGCCTCGAGTGGATTCGATCGGTGTGCCAACTACATCTACCGATTGCCATCTACCCGTGAAGAGGAGCTGGTTTACGACTGCGAAACGAGAGGAAAAGATATTTGCAAATCCGAGAAACTTTCAATGGTTGTTTTTTCTTGCTTTGCGGGGTATAAATTATATAGAGCAAATAAGGTTGAAGCTTTCACAAATGATCTGTAATATACCTAGTAGGTAGGTAGGATTTTGGCTGGGTAACCTTAAATCTACGGAGCGGATTATCCGAAAATTACCCACGGGTGCGGATAAACTTTGCGCCGCCTACGATTCAACGTCACAATTCTCGGTTCAAAAATCTTTCTCACCTATAACATCACCAGTAACCTCCTAATCCATCTCTTCATCAATTTTCAGTATGATATCATCCAAACTATGCGCCCAAGTATCAGTCTTCTCTTCATGCAGTATGAACATGGAAGTCCAAGTTCATCATACCTAGGTGGAGCCTAGCCATGATAGGTGTTGGGGGTGGCTCTTCTCCCGTGATTATACGGAATGTGTCTGGTCCAAAAAGTTGAACATTAATTGCGCTTCTGTTCGCGATACCATAGCGTTTGGGATTAAGTGGATCTTTTTGAATGACTTGACGGATTAATCCTCCAGTGCCTGTGGCTTGTTCCTCTGTTTGTTGTATCTTTGGTGCTGAGGTTTCACAACTCCTTCCACACAGTCTCATGCATAGATCTATGGTAGATTCATAACATATATGTAAGTATAGCTGCTAACCTTGAGTATCAATAGCCAGAGATTATCGATGCCTGTAGCTATCCCGAAGAGGCCCCGAGAGCGTTGCATACATCTATTTCCTCACTGGACTTACATCAACCACAGGTATACTCTAGTGAGAAGAGCTTGAGTATGTAGTGGCCTAGTTTAAAAGTAGCATGCATGCGATGTGAGTGTTGATGCTTCTTTGACAGCAGAGCTTTTGTTCCAAAAAGATTGTTACGAAGCAGATTCATAGCTCTCAAGAGCTGAGTAGCGTCAGTCAAATTTGATTCACATGATTTCGTTTTTCATTTACATTGGTTGTTATCACTTTCAAGCTTCAGAGCACTCAGTAAACACTCATATCACATTCAAAATCACTTCAATAATAATTCTAGGCCAAGTAAGAGAAGTATGTTATAGTCATCGATTGTTTCTAGATGCGAGTATCACAACATCCTGATAAATGTCAACTCCACGCCGAGGATAGATCCAGTATTGAAACCCAAGTATCAGTAAAGAAGCATTAAGTGCTATATATGAATGCGACTTATGTTGGACGGGCAGTTTCAGCTTAGGCGTAGGAGACTACGGGTTACAACACGTTAGTCTTGAAGCTAATTCTTGAGGAAACGAAAGCGCACAGATATCTTACATTAATTCTTGTTGCTGTAGTCATCCTCAGGATATGGGCCGAACTCGGTGGTCTGACGCTTGGTGTTGTAATCGTCCTCTGGGTAAGGGCCGAACTCGGTGGTCTGACGCTTGGTGTTGTAGTCGTCCTCTGGGTAAGGACCGAACTCAGTGGTCTGTCTCTTGGTGTTGTAATCATCCTCTGGGTAAGGACCGAACTCAGTGGTCTGTCTCTTGGTGTTGTAGTCATCTTCAGGGTATGGGCCAAATTCAGTAGTTTGTCGCTTGGTGTTGTAATCATCCTCGGGATATGGACCAAACTCGGTAGTTTGGCGTTTGGTATTGTAGTCATCCTCAGGGTATGGGCCAAATTCAGTAGTTTGGCGCTTGGTGTTGTAATCATCCTCGGGATAAGGACCAAACTCGGTAGTTTGGCGTTTGGTGTTGTAATCATCCTCGGGATATGGACCAAACTCGGTAGTTTGGCGTTTGGTATTGTAGTCATCCTCTGGGTATGGGCCAAACTCGGTAGTTTGGCGCTTTGCAACGCCATTGAGCCTTGCACTGGGGGCGGCGGCAGCGAAGGTGGCAGCGAAAGCCAGAATTGCGGTGATCTTGAGCATCTGCATGATGGCTTTGGGTAACTTGATGTTGAGTTGAAAGTTGAAAATGTAAAGAAGTTGTTAATGTTTGACTTGTCAGTTGTATGAGTCTGATAGAGCTTGAGAGAGAGCGGGAAGAAGCAGGTTTAAATATTGTTGTTTCTTAGACTTTTTGACGATGTGAGCTTATCATGCGAAGTCTATTTTGTTGACTGCATCGCGCGGCCGAAGACAATTGCTTTTCGTGGCCGGATACAAAAATTCAACAGCCATAGTTACGTTGACTGAGGGCTCGAGATGCTTTGGCTGTGATGGCGATACATCGCATGCGGACAAGTGCATTAGTGTTTAGCGAATCAGCGATTCAATGCCTAACTGAACTAGTGAGGGGACCGCTGCTAGAACTGTCATCTTAATCTTACTAAGTTCAAAGCTAAAAAGGCTATACTGTAACGTTCCTGTGCCAGGTACAACCGCTGCTAGCACCGGTCTACTTTTGATACAAATTACAGTAATAACCTCATATAGTAATGTTCTATGTATTAGTACCTCAAATGTTAAAGTTTATAACTAGTATAACCTCAAACAACATTTTTAATATTTCAGTCTCTACTATTTTAGTCTCTTTTTTTTTATAAAAAAGTAATAGAAACTTATCGGAATAAGAATTTTGAAATATTATAGTTTTTTAAACCCCCTAGAAAAGACCCAGAAAAAAAACTAAAAAGACTAAGATAATATGATAATTTTTTTTTAAATCTATATGAAAGAAAATAAAAACTAATTTGAAAGTTTCAATTCTTATCTTGAATAAATTCTGAGATTTTCGAAAGTAGAATGATTTTTCTTAAATTTGAGACTAGAAAGTAATAGTTATATATCAAAACTAGAATAATAATATTTATAAAAATGAAATAAAGTAACCTGAAACAGTATGCATTAGACCACGAATAGCATTTGTACTAGTCGAGGTATGAACATATCGAATTTTGCTCTATGAGGGTTATTGCCGCACAGATTATATCCCCCCATGCCACACTAAAAGATATCAAGTTGTTCCGGCAACATTGCCTTAGGAGAAAAAACTATACACCCGTCCTGGTATGCAAGGGGTCACAACATAATGATCACCTCTTCATACAATGAAGTGATGATCATACCCATGATAGTGTCATGTTGCCGGGAGACGGGGCTCGGCGGATCGGCCCACAGAATAGTGTTGCGCCACTTCCACCTCTTGGATTAAAATTTCTCAGCTACCGGCATAAAGTCAACATTATTAAGTCTCCTTGGCGCATGCTATCGTTGGCATGTCTTATCTTGTGCCATTGTGTTACCATCGAGCATATAAGGCGGGTCAGATATCTGTTCTATAACCCCATTACCCTGTCACAAAGGTGTTTCAAATCTTTGTGATTCCTATTCGGGACTTTCTCAAGACCTTTTCATATTAGCACACTATCATTTAAACAAAATGGCTCTCAAGCAGATCTTTTACATCTCTTCTATCGTGGCTCTTCTTGCTGCAGTATTTTCGGCTGTTTCACCATCCATAACGGTACCTGGCTTCTTGGCCGGAAACTCCTGTTCGCAACCACAGTATATAGTCCGCACTTTGTCGTATGATCCACTTATCCAACACATCGAGAACTTTATCACTCCTCGAGAGGCTTATCACCTGGTCCAGATCGCGTAAGTTATGGTTTCGATAGCGAATCCGGGTAACAATGCTAATGAGGAGTGCAGACAGTCTAAGTTCCGCCCCTCTCGTGCCATCGAATCTGATGGGCGGTTAGTAACTACACATGAGAGAACCAGTTCCACTGCATATCTGCCTTCGGATGATCCTGTCGTCCAATGCATTAGGTCCAGAGCTTCAGAGTTTCAGGGTTACGTTGACCTTGAGATGATGGAGAGCCTGCAGGTAACACGATATCTAGAGGGTCAACAGTATACGAACCACTACGACTGGGCAATCAACCCTGCCGCGAGGAATCAAACAACGAACAGGGAGACCACTTTTTTCGCCGTGCTTGATGTGGAGTGCTCCAACTGCGGGACTCGATTTCCTAAGATCTCAGTAGACTGGAGCGTGGAGGATCAGAGGTGGTGCAATTTTGTTGATTGCAAAGCTACCAACGAGTTAACAGTACGTGGGGTTGCTGGCAGTGCTGTTTTTTGGAGAAATCTCCATTCTAATGGAACTGGGGATACACGCACGCTACATGCTGGGCTCCCCGCTCTGGGCGGGAAAAAGGTGGGATTGAATATCTGGACACGTCGAGAGGTTTAATCCTGCCACTTGAATCCACATAAAGGCCGTTGTCTCATTCTCAAGTTCTTTACTTCGTATGTACGCTTCGCTTGTTCGGACTTTTCGGAATCACCGACCTTTCCTTTCGTATGGGGCGTAGGTTAAGCGAAGGCCTATGATTAGTAATGAGTACGTTCGTACGCAAACGAGTTAACAAAAACTCAAATTAAAGTACTCGGTGGCCGAAGGTATGGGCCAATGATTATGCTTGCTTCAGTAGATTAATAAAGTATGTTGAAATACCACCAGTACGGAGGTACATGCCCTAATTTTTGTCTTACCGCCTTGAATTTACCATCAATCAAATCATTTTGCCTATACAAATTAATCCTTAACTTCGAAAGCGGCGAGACAAAAATTGGGGCATATACCTCCGTACGGAATGTTCCGATTATAAAGCATGCCATCCCTGTCATTGAATCTATGCCCCACTTTTGCATGCCGGGGAACACTTAAAAATAAACCTTTTTTTATAGGGAGGAATAGTGTGAACTACAATAGTATACTGGCCCTCTACACGGCAAACTTTGTTGACTCGCTAAGTTCCGTACAAATGAACCTCGCTGTACTCGTGCGGCTAGAAAGTATGCAACTCCGGCGCTATGAAAACCAGGTTAGTCCTCTTGTAGTTTACCATCTTGTGGTATGTGCATCTAGCGTAGGAGTTGTATACTTTCTGGCAGCACGAGTAACTTCCCCCGAGTAAGTTAGGCGTTTCAGAGTTATCAATCCGAAAGAGAGTTTTTTTCATGTGGACAAGGCTAGCAGCCATCAAGTCGGATATCAATATTAGAAAGACAAGGAATGGTGTGCTCTATTCCCGGTCATTGGTAGAATAGCTTTCTCGGCTTGCTAAGAAAGCTTATGCGGGCAGAAGATGATAGACTCCCTGATTGCTGCCAGTTTCTTGGTTCTGTGTGAAAACAAGAGAGCCTGTACTACCTATTAACGCTCTCAAGAGACCTCCGCACCATGCCATTTACTTCTCTTCTCTTCTCTTCTGCCTTCAATATTTGTCAAAAGCACCTTTAGTACCGCTCCATTTACTCCAATGGAAGAAAACAAGCTACTGGGACGCACTTCGTCGTCGGACGATGATGCAGAAGACACAACATTTGCTAGCAGAATGAAACGCATTTCTAATCGTGAAACTTTCTTCTCCCGCTTACAGATTTTTCGTTTTTGTCTTGAAGTTATTCTCATTGTCTGCCTTCTTGGCACGACTGGTCTTATTTTGAGGAATGACATCGGCAAAGCTGGTACCTGTGATAATCAGGTTTGGCCGGCAGGAAGTGATTACAATCATTTCGTACCTCATGGTAAGTCTCTCTTGCCTTATGAACTCTCCTGATCCCTCGAATGTCACTGACCCCAAGAACAGATGTCAGCTCAAGAGGTGTACCCAAACCCTCTGGCCCAGATCAATACCAGATAGCTGCCGATGCATTCCATGACCGGGGTCTGTTTAATCAAACTCTAAGCTCATGGCAAGGTCTTTCTCATGGTAAAAACCCTCCATGAAAATTGTTCAACGTGTTGCACATGTCTGATTGAGAATTTCTTAGCGTTTGTACGAGCCACGCCGTATGATGGCAGCGGACCTCAAAAGCTGTTTGCAGGAGATCTGTTCGAAATTGCTGCATTTCATCAAATGCATTGTCTAGTAGGCCGTTTTACCGTTCCTGAGACTTCAAGTCCGGCTTCTAACCTTTGTTGATAGACATCTATACTTGAGGACTTTGGTCTTCTTGCAGCCGGAATCCCTAAAGAAGAACTGCCGGGTTACCACAGTGGTGTAACGTTGACATGGGAAGAGCACAAGGCGCATTGTTTCAACTACGTCCGGCAGGCTTTGATGTGCTTCGCTGATTCTACCGCTGAAGGACACATTGACGGCGACCCCCATCGTGTAGCTGATCATGGGGTAATGCACGTTTGTAACGATTTTGATGCCTTGCTAGCGTGGTCCAAGGAGCCAGAGAGAATGTTGCCTAAAAGTTGGAAGGTGACCGATTAAGAAAAAGAATTGCTTGTATTTATATTTGACGAAATAGAAGTTGATATTTTCCCATCAAATAAGCAATCTGCTAGTTCTTGACCCAAACACGGAGTGTACATGTGAAAATTTACTCTAGAAAATGAAATATTGTAAACAGAGCAATAATAGACATTTGGACGAAAAGAACATAGTAGAACAGCGAAAATGAACTTAACAGATTCTTGGGAAAGCATAGCTATTTGAAATTTTCCATGCTTCATAATAAATATCTACATCATCTATCTTCCTCTCCTTAAAAAAAAATTGCACAACAAAGGTCTAAATCTGTAGCAAAGAGCAGCCCAAAAATGATTTACAACGTGCTGACAGCAAGGGCTTTTTAACAACTACATTTATAGGTATCCCATGAAGCTATCTAATATGACCATGGAGCACTATTCCATGTTTGCGTGTCCATGATGGTGGTTATGCACACCGTCCTTCGCTTTCCCTGGAAAGTCCTTCGAAAAGTGACCGCAATCTGGATATTGAATCTTTGCCCTAACCTCAATATCATCCGGGTCATTGATTCTCGTCAAGACCTGCGAACAGTGTTCCGTGTGGGTCAAGACATCTTCTTTGTGAACCATTCGACCTTCGGTGAGTGCCTTGTGGAATCTGAGAATGTTGTAGGCACAATGAGTCTTGTGCAGTTTATTGGTGAGGTAAACGGGTTGCTTGTCGGAGCCGAATTGTTCTTCAGTGACTGATGCAGTTTTGTTCTGATCGGTGTAGAATATCCACGGCCCAGCTTTGCGGAACTTTTCTGTCAGGTCTCGATCAAAGCACTCATCCGGGACCCAGCAGAACGAAAGAACGTCAAAGTGACATCCTCGTGCAATCGCCTCACTGGATGAGTTTCCGCAGGGACTTTTGAGAATTCGTTGAGCGTTGGCATGGGTAGGCAGAACAATAGACTGGAAAGCCCAAATAACTGAGAGTGCAAGTAGAATGCTCGAGATGAGGCCGACAAGGAGCATAGAACAGGTCCTATGACGGCTTTGCGGTGGCGGTGAAGTAGCAAACGAAATCGAATTTTCATCTTCCTCTTCGTTGAGCATGGGAAGTTTACTCTCATCTGTATCCTGAAAAGCCATGTTGTTGACGGGCTCGATGGAATTTTTGGTAAGCTTGTGATACTCCTAGGTGAGAGATTTTTGGTTTTCTGGGCGGTAGATATGAATGCAAAAGTAGCGACTAGAAATCATCCACCGCGATAAAACAGCAAACCAGCTTTCAGAGTATGAGTTTGAGGACGCTTCTGACCAAATCATCCTGTTATGGCTTGAGACATTTCTCTGTCCACTTGCCAAAAAGTCCGCAAAATGAATCACTTGGCGAACTAACCATGTCATGAAGGAACTGTGGAAACTCGATTACTCCGCACTCGCACTACCAGAAAATATACAACTCCTACACTAAATACACATACCACAAAATAATAGATTACAAAAAGACTAATCTGGTTTTCATAGTACCAGAATTGCATACTTTCTGACCGCACAAATACCTTGACGACTCCTTATCCCCTGATCACTCGGCATCAGGCCTGATAAAGATTAAATCTCTATTTTGAGGGATGCGTTGATTTACAACACATGCTAGCTACAAGATCCAATGATATGATAGATGTGACATTCAGCGATAACTAAATTCGAAAAGCTTATTCTTGAATTCAGCACATGTACGGCCTCGTGTTTATCAGACTGTAACGTACTCGGGGGATCAGATGGTGTGATTTTGAGGTTAAATACCTTTGTTTACACTTTATATCGATAGTAGAACACATTAAATAACCTTTTTTCTTTAGGATATCCGAAATACTCACGAACCTTACAATAAGGATTTAGTTAATAATTAATTCTAATATTTATAAATTGAAGTCTAAAATATTTAAAAAGTGTTAAAATAAAATAATATATTTAGTAATAATATATAATATATCAATAAATAAAAGGTTATATTTTTGTTTTTATTAAAATAGAAAATAATAAAAAAAGGAATATTATAAATAATTACACAATGATATCATAATAAATCAAACCCATATGATTTTAAGATTAAAGACTCTTGTTTATACGTAGTTTAAATTGATAGCGGAACTCATCAAATAATCTTTTATCTTTCGAATAACCGAACTATTCACAAACCTTATACTCAATTTAATAACGTGTTTCCAAAACCTTAAATTTCAATACTTTATTAAAAACATCTAAATATTAGATTTTCCAATTTCAATTTATAATACCTTCATCAATTATAATTCAATTCAATTGAAAACTTTATTAAATAATAGAGAATAATGAATTGTATTATTTATATAATTTTCGATTATTTCAAATCGATATTAATCGAATTGGAAATTTTGGGGTGAAAGTTCGAAAACGATTGAAAGTAGTTTGGAAATATATTAATTTTTAATCTCAAAATCGAATTTATATTCTACTCATTTTTAATTCTATAATTATTACTTTAATATATCTATAAAACTATATGTCGATTTTTTTAATTGAAATATTAATTATTCTAAAGAGTTTATTCAATTTGAAGATATATTGATAAATCCAGAAGTAATTGAAGTTAAATTTCAAAATTGATGAGGTATGAAAAATCGCTTATTTTTTTAGAAACATGTTATTAAATTGAGTGTAATATATTTTAGTATATATCAAATCCATGTGATTTTTAGATTAAATATTTTTGTTTATATTCCTGATTACTGATAGAAGTCATCAGATTGCCTTTGTTTTTGAATGCACTCGAACCATCTATAAACCTTAATCTATCTCGGTATGACCGTCCGATAGAGTTGAGCACCACGTATCATAATATCTGGGCATACAAAAGCTTGTCTTTGATGAGTCCCGGGTCTGTAGGAATGTGGGAAAATGCCTAAACATCGAAACCTCGTTTCTATTTCTTGGATTTTTTCAATTTAACAAAAATTCAATCTGTGGAAGGACGTGATAGTGGAGCAAGTGACAGCAGAGCAATCGTAGTCATTGATGAGGCTTAAATCATGATCTAACCTAACTAAGCTACTGTAACCGATCAGGTGATTGGGAGCTCTGTGCGCCCCATATAATTACTCAACATCAATTATCAAAAAATACTCTAATGAGATTAGAGAAGTGTAGGAGCATACACTAGTGTAGTAGTATATAAAACTAGAAGATATATAAAATAAAATATAAAATAAAAAGTTTCTTCTAAAAGTATGTATATATGAATATAAATAAATGAATCTAATTAATTTATATAATTACTTTACTTAAAGTAACTATTATATAATCTTTTATTAATTAAGAATTCTATTTACTATTTTTTTATATACTTATAGTAACTTTCTCTAGTACTTCAGAAGATGTTCTTGAATGTATATCTTTTAATTTATTCTAATGGTTTAATTAGCTATTTCAACCCATGTATAATCCTCGTACAATACTTTATTACACTCAAAAAGTGCTATAGCATAGGATTATATTATCGACCTTCAAAATATATATTTTGCTCAACCATAGCTTCAGTACAGCGTTAATGTGTTCAACCAGCGTTTAACAAGAGCTATACCCTGGCACTGTCCACTCAGTTCAATCAGATAATCAATCAAGAAAGTTAATGTACTCGTATACTCGTATACTCCTTACAACTCCCAGCTCAGTGAAGTTAAGTTCGCAGTCCTAGGATGTTACCCCGCTAGGCTGGTCAGATACTTAAGCGCTACGCCCCCACAGTGGAGAACATAGAACAGGTATCATGAAGATCGAAATCGAAGCCGTTTCACCGTCCCCAAATTCATTAATCTCTTTTGCTTATCAGATCTGACCTCGTATTTTGACTTTCCATGAAGAAAGATACAACGGAGCTCCATAAGTTGTTCTTGGAGTCCAGTGAGATTATGCGGGAAACACGGTTCCTAGAATCCCTCTCAAGATAATCATTGATCTTAGTTGGACTGTCAGTTATTGCACCATCACGGCATTTCTTTGCAAAGATTCTCTAGTTTACACCGAGCAATCTTGTATCCCCAATATCAAATTCTACCACCCATACACCAGCTATTCATCAGCGAACTTCCGTTCAAATCTTCTGTTGCAAAGATGTCATTCATAAAACTCTTTTGGGCCGACAAGACAACAAAATATGTCTCTGTTGAAGATGGCTCCGATACCGAAGATCGAGCTACAGTGACAACCAGCAATTCTTCAAAAGTGTCGATTTCTAGATCGTTCTACTTCGCTTCCTTATTCTTGTTTGCCGTCTTTCCAGTCCTTATTATCGCCTTGTTTGTGCTACATGGTCGTCTCGCAGACGCCCAAATCAACAATGGGTTTCTCAAAGGCTTCACTACCGAGTTGGGTATTATTTTCATTCAATATAGTCCAGACCACTAGCTAACCATATGAAATCCCAAAGATCCAATCAAAAGTGTAATTTCTGAACAAACTGTTCGTTTCACTGGTGGTCTTCACTTCCACAAGAATGGCACACTATACCGAGAGACAATCGAAGGGGAGCCTCAGTATGTTGGAAACCCCTCACCAGAGATAGATGCAGCATGGAGTCAACTACTCAAAGGTGAATAAGTAGATACCATGATCGTCACATGCAACTAACTAATTGTAGGTCAATATATGAACCTTGTTGGAGACGAAGCCGAGAGTATGACCGACCGGACGTGGAAAGATGATCATGGCAACTACGAAGTTGCGTAAGTTCAGTATTCTCCTGCAATTCATGTCTACTGGAAGCTGATAATATAAAAAGTCTAGATGTGATGCATACCCTTCATTGTGTGGTGAGTTAACGTGAATGACTTGAAGTGCCTTGAGCCTGCCTAGCAAGACAGTTAACAAAGATCTAGAATAAAGTGAGGATGGCTCTAGATCCGGATTATTATCCCCAGAAGGAAAGCCATAGAATCCACAGGATGCACGTTGGTGAGTAATGCAACATACCCATACCTCGTACAGAATAGCGTCGCTGATGGCAACAATAGACCACTGCATCGACTATCTCAGGCAGACTGTGCAGTGCCATGGGGACCTCACCCCCATGGTCTTCAGCTGGTCCGATGACGCTGGTAGAGTGGTGGCCGACTGGAGAGAGCCTCATACTTGTCGGAACTTTTATCAAATCCGCAGTTGGGCTGAAGATCATTTCCGTCCGTGAATTCTACCTATTGTACCATAGATTATTTGCCACCGATTCTAGGTGGATTGCGTAAACTAAATCGCAACGGGAAAATCCTCTCTTTACTCCCAATTATAGGACAATTATAATTTTACATGATTCCAATTGCTTCAGTTCCTCCGTGGTCTCCTGATTATCCCCAAGTTCGCCTTGAACGATTTTTGTTCTCATTCACGCCTTCACATCTACAGTTCGACGTGGCCTCGTGGCTTTGTTAGTAGCAAGTGTACTTGGGAAAGTCCTCTAAGTGTTCAACGTCCTATCCTCAGCGGCTGAAGCAAGACCTAGCCATGCGCTTTTCCTGATGTTCAAATGTGACATATCGGTAAGTGATTGCAGCCTCTGCTTATAGGACCTGTGAGGATTTAGGTTCAATATGTAAATCAATTCTACCTACAAACCGTAATACAAAGAATCAAAAAGAGGATCAGTAATTCCTCATGTTCTTAAAACAATTGAAACCAGATGTGTGATTTTAAAAGTATAGTTCTGCGGCAGATAGGTACTTCACAGTGGTGCCCTTAATTACTGCTATCCCGGTTAGCAAGTACCCAGCAACCATTTACTTTCAATTCCCACTTACACTTAAAGGGAAAAAAAAGCAAAAAACACGAATCAAATTTTTGGAAAGTAAATCTCATAACACCTCAAAAATCCCTCAGAAAACTTGAGCTGGCCTCTAGAGGATGATTCATTCACGGTGCAGCGATAGTGAAGCGACATTCCGAGTAGTTATGCGAGTTTACATTGCCAGGAATACCATATAGTTCAAGATTTCCTTGCAAGTTATTATTGCGAATGGCGGAGACATCTTCGGAAAAAGAAAAGGAAGCAGAAAGAACAAGTCGGCAATCAAAGTGAAATGAGCCAACCCGCCGTACTCGAACTTGAAGTAGTGTCTCTGCTTCCAATAAACATTTCGTCACAAAAATGAACAATTTCTCATTGATTCGAGGCACAGTAGAGAATATTGTTGTTTTTAGCTATCATAATAAAGTCAAACGACGCATTTTGAATACGTTCGAAGATCATGTCCCTAGTGTTTATCGATTTGGCCTCAGATATTCCCCGAAAAATATCTTACCCATTCAAATTTCATTCCACCCAGCTCAAATATCATCATCATCTGGCAATTCAAATATCTCGCCCAACCTGGCTTTCATATCATCAACCGGAGCAAAACTACCCCTCGCGCCCGACTGATCAGTTGTGACCTTGAAAACTTTGTGATCGTCCTCATCTTCGTCTTCATCTTGGTTTCCATCGTTCCCTTCCTCATCATTATCGTGGATGTTATGGATTTGGCGGTTATGTTCTTTGTACATTGCCATTGGGATAGGACACTGCGGAGGCTTCATACCTAGTACGATTTCAGAAGCCGGTGTATTTATCATCTGCAGGTTAAAGATCAAAGTATTGTCTGTATCCCAGGATTTTGCGTTAAAATCATCGACTTCGATATCTTGCACAATGTTTGTATTGGCATCTGCAAATATTACATCTCTTTTCTCACCGTAACTCTCTTTGATCGCCGCGTGATACTCTAATAGTCTTTTTCCTGCTGTTGTCTGGCACATATGTTTTTGGGCAGCATGAGATCTCGGCCTGCGGCCTACACCAAAGGTTAGGAAAATCTCTGAGCCCTGTAGATAAAGTCAGACTTAAGCGATTCATTTCAATCTTTTGTATCGAAGGCAGATGTAATCATGACGTACCGCCTTGATGCCGTAAAATCTCAGACGACGGTCTTCTGACGAGTCAGCAATTGGTCATACAACGTGCCAAAGTGACTTACGAGGTTCAAGTTGCTGGTCTGCAAAATTGATTCGCTGTTCCTCCCAGGGAATACTAGTTACTCCTAGAATTTTGTTCATGAGATCGTTCACAAGACATATGTTGGAGACATTTATATGAAAGACTTTGCCGGAGAGCGTGCGCACAGTGATAGGCATGCGTTTTGTCGTGTCCAGCTTTTGTGGTACAATCTCAAATTGTATTCTACGAATACCGTCAGTCAAATTGATTGAGGATTTGGTTGATGGCGCCATAATTTGATTCGGGGCCGCGAAAAACTGCATGATCTTGTCCTCTTTTGTCTTGACGCCGTCCAACCATCTTTGACCAGAATTTCCTGCAACAATGTAATCTTGAATTGACTTTTTTTCGTAAAGTAATGCTATACTTCTGAGATCTGCTGATAAGCATCCTTTGTTAGATTCTCCAGAGATGGCATTCACGCCATCGATAATGACTTTCACCGCGAAATATCCAGTTGACTCAAAATGGATCCACATTGCCTCGCGCTCTTTCACTTTCGGTCAGCATTTCTCGACCGGTAACATTGTTTTCAGTCAAGTGCATGGAAAGGGAAGCACTTACGATAGATCGGGATAAAGACTCCATCGTTTGTAGATACAGAATGATCAAACTTATCCTTATATTTATCAAAAGGATAGATAGGAAAAGGTCCAAAGTCTGGAGGTACTTTCAAACGATTGCCACTTTCTGGAACACGAAGAGTGCGTCGAAACGAAATGTTGAGGAAATCTCCTTCCACGTTGCTGATACAAATTTGCTTGAAACCTGTTGTGTCTATACGAGGTTCTCTCAACTCAACTTTGAAGCGGTTGTCGGCCTCAACTAAGTTATCCATTCTGCGAGCTGTTAGCTGCAGATTTAATTGATCGGATGATGTTGAAACTTGCTTGAAGTCAAGATGTCCAATTGTTCTTGGTGAATTCTGTCTTAGGCAAGACGGATACCTAACTGCAGTTTAGATTCTCGAAGAAGAAAAGAAACCCACGTTCGTTGTAAGAAGATAAGAAAACGAAGAACAAAATTGAGAAGAAAAAGGAACACGAAGAAAGAAATTCAATCATGTAGAGCAAACCAAAGACGAGACTAACGAAGAGCGGTATGATACTAAAGTCGCTCCTTCCAAAAACTTATAAAAACTGAATTTAATGATCTCTGGATACCTGTCAGGTACCCACACAAGTGGATCATGAAATCCTTCCTCTCTAAACGCCCAATCAATTATCATTTGCAAGAAGGAAACATCAAGAAGAAAAATGACACGAAGTGAGAAGCTTCCTCGTAATTAGAAGAGTGTTAAGACATTAGGTGAATTCAATAGTCTCTAGAATTGTAAGTGAACATCGAGTAAATTGAACCACTTAGTTTGTAGAATCTATGATTTTTCACATTCATCTGAAGTCTGGATTGGGAGTGAATGAGCGCGCCGATCATAGGGATCTTGTTGTAAGGGGTGTATGAATATGAGATGAAGTGAGGTATACGATACTCTTGTGTACGCACGTCTTCCTATCAAACACAAGAGACAAGGAACGGAGCGAACATACTAGCGATCTATCAAATCAAGAATCTATCATATCCAAACTAGACCTCATCCACCGCATGCAAAGTTTCATCAATTCTCAGGTTCAAATTCACAATCCAAAATATAAAAGAACGAGTGTCGAATATTCATCACTATCTATTACAATAGCTAGATCACCCGTTCGTTTGACTTCTACAACTTCCTCAGCACAAATCTCATTCTCACATTCATTTAGTTTCACACATCCATTCCCAGTTTCTCGTTCACTACAGAGCCCCTTTTATCCATCTTCCTCAAGTTCCAGCAATCCTGAGGTTTTCACCTCGAATCCATTCCAGTTCCATTTACAAATACCGTGGACTTTTCATTCTCCATCACCCAGCAATCAACGATAATCCGATTAAACCGAATATTCTCACAATCATCTCCAGATGTCTCCTCCCTTTTCATATAATCTAGAAAGACAATGAATACTCTTGACCGAAGAATATTCTTCCCCCCCTAAAAAATCCCTTGTATATTCTATAAAAAAGCTTTCTAATAAAGTATAGATTCCTACGTACTTACTAATATTAGCCTTCTTAATAACTTGGTAACAATCACTCTCTCAAAACTGCTATATTCATAGACATCTGAATATTGAAGATTGAATATGAGAGTGTTATCGTTGTTCCAGTATGTAATGATAAACCAACTACTCTCTCCAAAGTCTCATTCTCAAGCATTTGAATTTCGAAAATGGGAATGTTATCTTTATTCCATTCTACAACAGCAACAGAATTTTCACCAATAATCCATCTAATAGACCCACCAACAAAGATCGTCTCAGCCACTCTTTTTTTCCCCTAATCCGAAATCCATAAGCGAATCACTCCCCCCTCACTACTCTCCAACCCATTACTTCACCCCTAGCTAATTAACCCTATGAAAAGAAAAGCACCAGCAAGACTTCCACCAACATACCATGACACTCACCACTCTCAAAGTTTCACA